ACACGAGTCAGTGACAACTGGGACCACAGCCAGTTTCAAGTGAGCTCCATGTGCTGCAAGTACCTCGCTGCTTTTCCTGCACGAATGGTCTGAACACAGGATTTAGAGACTCATTTCTCAAAGCCTGGGAATTTTTTTCCCCTTTCTTCTGTCAACTCCAAAAAATAACTTGAATATAATATATATATATGTGTATGTACGTATGTACGTATACATATACATGTACATATACGTACACACATCGATGGTTTGCAGACGATTTCCTGCATGGTTTTAGTGGGTGTTTGTGGGACTGTTGTTGCTTTTGGGTGTGAAGAGCAGCAGGGGATTTACACTTAAAAGTAGATTTTGGGGAGATTTTGTTTTTTAAGGCAGGAAATTGCTGGAACCCTTTTGTTTTGCCGCACACATGTTGGAGTGTTAACCTTTGGAATCTCTCACTCGATAGCGTGTATTTCTAATGTCGCCTGTTGGGGATTTCTTCTAGAGGTCACGAAGTTAAAGTGTGTCTAGCTTTTTTTTGTTTTCTTAGACACAAATTGAAGCCAGCGTGCCATTAACTTTTGTATGATTTGACCCTCTCAAGATCTGCTGTTTACTTAGAGGCAGTGACTCACTCCGTAATTGATTTTAGTAGATTATCATTCAAGCATGGCTGCGTTTGGCTTGGTAGCGACCAGTTTGCTAAAGACACTAAAGTCATTTCCTGAGTAAGTCATAGAAGGTCACGGGGCGGGTGTGTTAATAATCTAATTGGTGGACCACCTCTGAAGAAAGGTCATACACTGCTAAGCAAGAGCATCCAGTAGGCCAGAAGCACTAATAGCAGGGACTTTATGGCTTTCTCTGTTATCATGTGGTTTGAAAAGCTTGTAGACCCAGCAAGACTAGCCTCGATCGAAGGATCGTGATAACGCTATGCCACTAATGGTGCTTGGCTTTCATTAAAGGGAGCATCCTCTTCTCATTCAATTTGTAATGAATCAAGATTGTAATCATGCACGTTGTTGTTGCAGCCGTGGGATATCTCTATTAGCTAATGCACAACCATAGGCTAATGGAAAACATGGAGCTGTATGCCTCCTGCATAAAATCGTCCTCTGGGACAATTATTCAAAAGGCATAAAAGAAGCCCAGTGATTGGGAAAACCTTTTTAATTTTTTGCTTTATAGATTATTTCCTGTTTTAATAATTAGTCATCTGGTACAAACGGTGTCAGATGCCGGAATACGATTTGATTGTTTAGCCTGAGAAAGCTGGTGCCAGGAAATGTTTTATCCGCCTGTTTAGCTGTTAGCATTCACCATGATTACCATTTAGTTTTCTAAGAAAAACACATTCAACTGATGCTTTAGCCTTTGTCTTAACATATTTGATATATATTGGCATTAACACTTACGATACAATATCCAGTATTTGCTAATAATACTTTGTTTTTAACAAAACTTAATGATAGAAAGTGTTTAGGTTTCCACACCATCACACCACCGCCAGCAAGCCTAAACTTCTTCAGATCAGATTCCAGTTTTCTGTTGTTCAATTTTGTGAATTGAAGCTTCATTTTCCCCATTTTTAGCTGACAGGAGGGCCACCCAGATTGTATTCTGTTGATGTCTGATTTTTTTTTTCCTGGTTTTGGCACTGGTATCACCCCCAATAAACGTGGAAAAATCTTATACCATATTCATATCTGTCCATTAAATACGAAGCTATAGTTTAGCATAAGATAACGCTTAGAAACAACTCGACTGTGCTTATATAGGCATAGATTGAGATTTCATAAAGCGGAGGACACAGGGAGCACATCCTTCCAACTAATTAGATGCCTCCAACCCTTCTTGAACTTTTAACTAGTAAAATTCACAAACAGACTTTGATGTATGCAGGCGAAATTGTTCAAAAACACTTAAATAAAACATTAAAAAGTCATGTGAAAGAGCCTTGAAACTGGGAAACTTAGGAGTTTCCCAAGTAATTGTCTTCAAAGCCACATTCATTCATGGTCACAATAGAATTGCAAGTAGTGTAAGTGATGTGAGGTAGCCGAAGGTGAGCAACACTAATTAATTAACATCTTTATTTTCGTTGTGCTTTCATGTTCCCATCTGCTGTCTATTAAAATCATGGCCCCGGGGAGAAAATACCCCTCCCCATCTTTACCTGACCCTCATCACGCTGCTTCAGAATTACATAACCGGGTTAGAAAGTACCTTTTGTGTCACTGCTAAATGCAAATACCATCGACAACAATACTTGGCCGCCCTGAATGCAATTCTTCTGCAAGCTGTCAAATTAAAAGGGGCTTGAGTACTTCCTCTTGAGCCCAGTGACCCTGTTTTATTTTTAATTGGCGCAGAATCCCGACTGTGAGGGGGAAATAACAAGTGGTGGGTTTTTCTTGGTTTTTGGGGGGGTGGGTTGTTTCTTTTCCCTTTAGCAACATGTGACGCTGCGCATGATTTTTAGATGTGCCACTTTCCTGTTGAGAGATTTACGCTTTCTGCTTTTTGGTTGGCTTAATGAAGCAGGATTTCACAGACTCACTGAGCTCGGAAAGATGTAGAAAATTGAGAAGTAAAGCGTGCGTTGGATGGAAGAGGGATGAAGTTAGAGGGAAAAACAAGAGTGAAACATTGGAAAAGAAAGAAAATCATCTTTTTCTCTTGCATGTTTTGGGTTTTTTTCTTGCTCAGAGTGGTAAAACACACACAGCTGGAGGGGGTTGGGGTCATGGGCTGTGTTAAATTACCAAATTCACATGAAAGAAACATAATCTGGATTGGTTTTATTAATAGAATTTCCCCCCCGAGCCAAATGGAGAAGGAAGGAGGGAAGGGGCTAAACACTTTCAAGTGGAATAATTAAGACCCTTTGCCTTCTCTTTTTGTCTTTATAAATTAACATGCAGGCTCTTGATATCTGCTGTTCCAGCTGTTCAAGGTCCCACTTTACTGTGTTAGGAGAATAAGCCTTAAAACTGCTTTTACATCTTTGCAGTGAACTGCTAGATTTGATTTAGCAGTCCTGTTTTGCTCCTTTTAGTTGACTTGTTTTCTTTTAAGGTAATGTCTTCTGTGTTTTCTCCATCGTGCTTTTCAGTCCCCGAGGATCTGTCCGTGGAGGAGAGGGATGAACTGTCGAACATCAGGCGGAGGAA